AACACACAGGAGAGCCAGCTGAGTTATTAGCAACAAGCCCTACTGTTGAGTGGTTAATTGGGGTGCTTGAAGTCAGTATGCAGGATTGAAACAGAACCCAGTTTGCTTTTGCTGGGACAGGCTGCAGATGTACCTGAGATCCCTGTGCACACTGGAAACACTGTGCACTGACAGTACTTTACAAACTCTGCCTTTCCAAATCCCTTCCAGTGATCTAATCCACATTTTGAATTTACAGCCTTTGGTTCTTGGGCATTAATATGCTGACGTTCCCCCTGCAGGTTTTCCATCTGTGCCAATGGACACAATACCCTGTAATGAGCACTGATGGCATTCTTTTGTGCATGTGTGTGTTTGTGACTACTTTTAAACACAAAATGGCTGCAATAGGCAAGCCATTTCCACATGAAGGCTGGCATTCCCTATACACATGTAGGGCTGCTCAATTGTGCAAATCCAAAATGCATTGTAAGCATGTAATTATGCCCTTGCATATGCAAAGGGAAAGGACTGCAAGTGCAACCTGTGCTGGTTCAGCTGCTTTTAAAATATATTGTCCCTAGTGTTGTTAAGCTGATCTGTCAGAGAAATGAGCCCCTAGCGCTACAAGTTTTACTTGTATGATTTTCTATCTACCTCTTAAAATGGACCATGTTATTTTTTAAATCTCTTGTGCATTCTCCAGAAGTGTTTGGAAGAGGAAGCTCCCTATAAATGGGGACTGCAGTGCTCCAAATTTGCTAGCATAGTGTTCCTGATTTGCATTTTAGAGTCAGGCAAAGATAAAATCAGTTAAACCTGCATTAGAGCAGCAAAATTAAACTAAAATTCAGTGTCCACGATCATCAGCTGGAAATTTTCTTCTGGCTGAAATTAATTCAATATTTGAAATTGAAAATCTTCACCAAGTTTGGTTTTCATCTCCTTTTCCAGCACAGAGAGCCTTTACTTGCCTCAATACCCACCAGCAAGATCCTTGCAGTCTGTACTAGATACCCCTTAGTGTGTGCTTCCACAAGGCTGGCACCAAAATGTGTTCAGTATTAACACCCTCAATTAAAGCAGCATTTGCTCTGATGGGCTCCTCCTCTGAGGCTTGATTCACCTAAGAGAGCCGAGGTACAGGTTAACTGTAGTCATGGGATTTTGCTAATCATTTCCTTGTCAAAAAGGGAATCATCATCCTGCTGAACCTTTCTCATGATGGAGTCTCACTGAGCTATTCCTTGGGGTATTTCAGGATTCAGACATTTACTTACTGTATTGTTCTTTTCACCAGAAGCGTTATCCTCTCATGTGCTGACTTTTCCACTACTCCTTAATGCCTCATTGAAGAGGCGACTCTTAGGACAGGACAATATACCCCTTAATTTATCAAGAAAAATTCTAAGAGCTAATCAAATTTTTTAACTGATAAGGCTAATTAATTGCTTATCTTACATGGTTTGATTGTACAGCTTCCATTGACAGATTCATAGAATAGAGTGTGCACAACAATTTGCCCCCAGTCCAGACTGCAGTGTAATGCAGAGATTCTCAAGGCGGTTTTAACTGGGAACCTATAATATTAAAATTCCCCACAGACTAAATTAACCCTTTCAAGATACATCTTTGTGGTGCCAAAGACAGATGGCTGTTGGTTGTCAAGCTAAATATTTTTAAATTAGTTGTTACTGTACTCCACTGAAGAATATGCACTCACCCAAAAGAAAAGTCTTCATGTGAAAAATGAGAGTTCTTCTTCAATCAGAGGAATAAATGGTACCAGTTAGGGAAGGCATGCAGCATGTCAGAAACCAATAATTCAGGTGATTGCCTTATTATTTCAAGCAGGGAGAGGGAGGTGAACAAAATGGCCCTGAAATTTTCAAAAAGCATAATAGCCGTTTATTTCTTACCATGGTTTTATTGCCATTTTCTAAACAGAGAAACTGTGGGGCAAGGTAATATCTGTAAACGAAGATATTCAGCTGCCAGTCCAGGGGATCCACCACTAAATATTTTTCCTGTATAGTTATTGGAAAAGTAATTTTCCAGGACCTATTGGTGCATCTTTTCAAAGATTTCAGAGCTACTATATGTTTTCAAGCATTTATTAAACCTTCATGAGATGGCTTAAGCAATTTGTATTTAACCTCTTTTAATCCTGTCTTTATCAGAGACAGTCCTGAAGGTACAAAACATTTCCATTTTATTTAAAGCCTGCACAGCTATTTCAGCTAAATCCAATTTCATATTCAATTTACAATAGCAAAACTAAGTTCTCCACAAATAGAAAGGAAGAAGGAAGAATCAGAGGGGACTAAAATTTAATTTTCAAGCTTAGAAGAAGAGCATTATGGAAAACAAGAAATCATGAACTTCAACCTCCTCTCTTAAAGCAATTTAACTCTGAAAGGTTGCTAACAAAGGAGCTGAGGATATCAGACTCTCTGAACACTGTTTTTCTGTGTCCCCAGATGCAGTAGTTGAGAATTACTCCTGTGAGAAAGCGTATTTTTTTCCTCTATGGAAATGGATGTCTCAGGATTCTTTCCAAAGAACCGAATACAAAACCCAACAACAAAAAAAAAAGTCCCATATTTAAATCAATTCACATCTACAGCCAGGTGGAGGAATCTCACATTAACCAGGCTATTCATAATCTACGGTGTATATACCACGCAAGATTTCAAATTGGCAGAAAAAGCCCCCTTGCTATGTCAGACAACTCTGGCCACTTTCTGCTCCATCACTCAATCCAGATCATCCTGTCCCTCTGGCTTCTATATTCATTTTTATGAAACTATCAGGAATGCATGTGGAGACATGGGGAACTGTAGTTAAGACCACAAAGACTGTCTTTATCTCAGGTTCTCTGGATAGAACAGCTGGAAAACTGAGCTCATGCTCTGCTCCTACAGGAGCCTTTACATGAAATGGGGGTGACATTTAGGGAGCAAAGGCAGGGTGTAGAAGAGAACATAGGGGTTTAGATCATTTGAGGGACACTCCTGTGCCAAGTGATCCATCAGCAGTGTATGGTGTACTTGAGATTGTGTCTTAAACCCCCCAAAACTATAGATGGATCAGTAAAACACCTGGTCACAGCCTCCTGGCAGTCCCAGCAGGTGTGCCAAGGGCAGCAATGCCCATTTCCATGCCCATGATGTGGGGAGGGTACTTTGTTAAGCCAGACTCATTAACAGAGCAGGTGAATTCAACCCCACCTGGTTCAGTTCTCTGCCTAAAGCTCAATTATGTGTCCTTTGTGCAGGGAAGATGGATTTCTCACTGGGAGTCTTAAACATTTCTGTCATTATCACATTGATCATACGAGAAGATTGAATCCCAGAACTCAGTCTTCCCACCCTTACAAAATACATCCTTTCAACACGTTAGGCTTTTTACAATTGCACTTTTCCTAAGAGATATTTCAGATACCTCCTAGGAGATATTTCAGATGCTACTGAAGGGCTAAAAAAAAACAACCCAGTGAAGCCACCTTTGTGTTCCCCAACCCACTAATGGTTGAGAGTTCTCCATATCACACGTGGATTAAGTCTGCCATTAAACATACTTTCAAGGGCATTCTATAAGCAGTGGTACTAATGGACTGTAAATTTAACATGAAGCTCCCTTAGTAAAATAAGTATATACATAAAGTGCGTGATCTTTATTAAGAAGTCAGGATAAAGAAGACAAGCCTTTGATGCAAGGAGGCAAGGCAGGGCAGGTGATGTGATTAGCACACCATCAGCATTTCAGTGAGGCACAGTTCTGTGCCATGCTCTACCCACACAATGCTGGTGGCTGGCTGAAGGCAAACAACCAGCTTGGGCTGGGTTCAGCTGCCTCTCCCTTACCCCACACTCATTGCAGAAGACCAAATGCAGTTTAGAGCCACATCAGCCTTCATTACAGCACAGCCTTCCAGCACTTGGGGAGAAGGGCTATAAGTGATGGTGAGGTGGTAAAGAGTCACTGTCAATAATTAGTTCAGCAGGTACAAAGGCAATAAATAACTGCTTTAAATACCTCTGAATATTTCTATAGGAGTGAGCCTGACATGCAGTTGAATTACAAGAAATAGGGAACATTCCAACATGCACTGATTTCACACATGTCACTGACACAAAGCAGGCACTGGCACAGAGGAATTGCACTTCTATGTCTCATCCTCACCAAGCTCTTATGGAATTAAATTTGCCAGGCAGACAAGCCCAACAGTGACAATTCCTTTTCCTCCAGGAAAAGCACACAGACATAAGTCTAGACTGCTCATTGCATAGACAGGATGGTTGAACAAAATAACACCCACAAGGTGCCTGAGGGTCCACACAGGACTGTGCCCCATCGAGACTACCAGATTCACACCACATAATTTGGTTTCCCCACCAACAGACACCTGAAATTAGACATGCACTACTGTCTCAGACAGGGCAGTGTATCAGGGAACAAGAGCAGAGCTACTTCCAAAGGGAACTTGAGCCAGCTCACCATGAGGGCACAGCTGCACAGCGCCAGGGCAATTGCAGGAGGCCCTACCTGCAGTGTCAGGCAAAGGCACAGAAGGAATTTACCCCCCAGACCTGTATTTAACTGATGCTCCCAGACCAATGGGCAAAAGGGGTGGGCAGAGGTCCCAGGTGATGCTGTTCAGGATGATCAAGAGTTGTTAGTGCCCTCAGGGTACAGACAGTGTTATTTTTATCCTATAACTGAGTCCTCAGATCACAGTACCAAGCAACATGTGCTCTTAGTAGTGCCTCTTTGAATTTTTACCAAAGGAACCTGGGTAATGGTAAAAAAAAGTAGCTCTTCAACAAGCAAATGAAATCCAAGATTTGTCTCCTGTAAAGTAATTCATTATTAAATTGATCTCTGGAATGCACAATGAATTTAATAGTGCTAATCTCTTATGGAACATTTCCCTTCATTACCAGCACTCAAGCCGAGTCTCAGTAGTTATATTTCTCTCTCATTCTCTGCTAAGCAGGGCTGCATGGCAGAGAAATGGAGGAGCCATAAAGCAGCCCTGGCAGGCACTTCCAAAGATGAAACCAAGCAGCACTGTCATCCTCTGCTAACCCAGGGCACAGCAGATGAGGTAATGCAGCTTGTAGAAGATTGATTAGAAGCAGGGCTGGAAAAACAGATTATTGTCTTCCTAAGTGTGGTCAATCTTTCAGTTTTAACTTCTTTTCTTATAAAATGCCTTTTCTGACTTCCTTTGAAAATCCTTAAGTGCGTAGAAAGCAGTTTCAGTCTCATCTATCAGACTAATTTATCTGCCTATTTTTGTTCCTTCATGTACATGGACATTTTGGAGGCTGTTGCACAGGTATAAAAGCTCAGAATCAGACCCATAAGCTGCTACTTGTCAGAAATCCAAAGCATATTTATAAATAGACATGTTTATTTTAAAAGAAAGTGTTTTTTTAAATGCACAGTTAATAGTCAAGTATGAAAGCTAAAATGTCTCCTTCCAGCTCCTCCTACACACGCTTTCTTTTCCAGAGACCCCAAAGTACATGTTCAAGTAAGTATTTTATGATCAAGACATTCAGTATTTAATTGAACCTCATTTAACTGTTTAAAACTTTTAAAAGAAGCTTTCAGCAAGAGCCCAGGGGGAAAAAGCCCAAGTTGTAAGAGGTAAGATGCCAGTCTGGGGAGGATAAAAATTCTTTGGTTCCTAAATCTTCCCTACAAGGATTTGTCATCCAAGTCCGTCAATACATTATTATTTATAAAGCAAGAATTATACAGTATAAAAACAACACATGGTTAAAGCTGTCATAGTGATACAACTTTTTTTTTACCAGTGACCTGTATTTCAGAGACACTCATTCTACTGAGTGTGTTTTCACATAAGTAATTAATATGGCATTCAAATTGATTCATTTGGATAAATTTTCCTAATTTCTATGTTGGCTGTGATAAGTTTTTAGAGACGTAGCTGCAAAGGATATTTTTTTTTAAGTGAGAAATTAAAAATGCACGACCTTAAATAGAGCCCTCCCATCTGGTTTTCTTCCAAAAGTGTCTCAATTGCCTCTGTCATTAACAACACAATACTGCTCTTTCTTGGGCTTTCCAACAAATATAGTTATGTTCCTGGGAAAATATGGAGAGAAAGAGCTGGGACCACTTAAAAGAGATTAATAGGAGAAAGAATTTTGAGCCTTAGGAAATGCTGTTCATTTACTTATGAGGATTATGTATGGTGTATAAATAGCATGAGATTCTCTAGGAGCATCACACAACAAACAGACAGTTATGTTGCAGGATTACTGATTAAGACATACAGTACAGGTTCCTGAACAATGCTATTACTCAGACCAAAAACTCTGATCTACTTCTCATGTTCCTTCCATCAGCTTGACTCTAAAATAACTCCATTCAAGTCATTAGGGTTTTACATGCTGGAGCTGGCAATTAGTCTGGGAAGGGTTTTTGGACAGTGACTACATACTCTGTGCTGTGCCAATAGGACTCTTCAGAAATTAACACTTCAAAGCCTAAGCATCAGCTTCTGATCTGGGTGAGAATAAAATGATCTTAACACAACTGCCATCAGCAGACTACTTACTACAAATTTACACCTACATGGATGAGAACAAAAATTAGACTTGCCTATCAAAGAGTCTGCTACTTCACTTTATTCAAAGCTAGTAGTCCATCAATTCTTTCTGCTTCATATTTATGATAAAAATTGCATTTATACATCACAGACATTAGAGAGGATCAACTTTCTCTGCAGTGATTTTTCATTAATGCTCTAGAGTCCCTCAATGTACTGACGCCTGTGTAAGGGATCCTGTTGGAAAGAGCTGGCAACCTTACTTCATTTAAGGGCTTTGTTTTCAAGACTTGCTTGAAAGAAATCTTATTTCTCTGCATCACTCTCTGCCCAGCTACAACTACCTCTTTATTTCATGTTTTTCTTCCTGGGAAGCAGGGTGTGGTCCTCGAGGCATACAGAAGATATCTTGCATTTACCTATTTCCACCTTGCCTCCCTTCCTTTCCTTTCTTTGTCTCCAGCAGCCCCCAGTGGACCTCCTTAGCTGGCTGCAGGATGCCTGTGGAGATGATGCATCCCAAAAGGAACAGGAATGGTAGGAGAAGTGGGGGATCTCTGTTGGAACCCAAGCAGTGCCATTCCATGCTTCTGAATGGCCCCTTCACAGAGCATCCCCTGAGTGGGGCTGCACAGGAGCCTGCTAGATGTCCAAGTTCTGTGCACACACACTCCACCATGAGAAACTCCCATCAGGATTAGGGAGCACATCAATAGCAGAGACAAAGTCTCTCTCTCATTTATAGCACAAAAGCTTAGTCATTATGCCTGAGCTATCTCTGAGGCCACTACATGAGAACAATCTATCATCTGTCACAGTTGAGATAGCCCAAATACACAGAGCATCACCACACATTTTCAGAAGGCTTTAAGCATTCCCCTGTACACAGTAACACCTTACCTCATCAGAAGGCTTCAGGTGTCTGCCCATGCAGAGTGACATCATTCCACTCCAGAAGGCTGCAGGGGTCTGCCCTTCTTGTTCTTCAGCCCAGCCTTTTATCCCCTCATGTTCCTGCAGTGCCCCTGTGTGCCCTCTGTTCCCTTTGGTGGTTGCTCAGAGCACCTGGGCACTCCCTGGCTCATTGCTGCCAGTGCTGCTCACCTGCTGCTCACAGCTGTGACACTGGGGATGAGCCCAGCCCACTCCAAATAACCACAAACTCTGCCTACAATGATCTTCTTCAGAATGTGTCTTTTTGCACAAATCACCTTTGACAGCATCTTTCTAGACTCCCAGAGTTCCTGACACCCATTATGAAGCTGGGTGATGTCCAAGGGATCCACAGCTTTGGGGAGCCTACAGTGGTTTTACCACCCTCATGACAGTTGCTATTCTTTGCTCTGTTACTATCAACCTCTATTCTTTCCATTCCCATTCTCTCCTGAACATCATCTCCATGATCCATATCAGACAGATTAGGAACACTTTCACTGCCTTCCTCTCAATGCCATGAACTGCCCATTCCCCTAGCTGGATTACCATCACAATTATGTCCAAAGGGGAACTGGATCCACCTCACAGCCCAGGGTAACATGAACCTGTCACCACAGACAAACCCTGGAAGGAAACTTTTCTCTGTGAGGTTTAATTACAGTTGGCAAGTGTGAGTTTACAGCTGGAGATGAGGCTGTGTGTGATGTCTGCAGAATAAGATGCCAGTATCATGTCTGTATCACTGTTTCCAGCCACAGTTCATTTGGAAATTGCTTCATCACTTTGAGAGGTCCTGGAAAATGCTTTAATCTCTCTACAGAGTTTTCAGACTATGATGACATTTAGCAACCATTGCCTTCTTAATTTTAACAGATAAATCTCTTTTGCCACCCATAGTCTTGCAGGTGGATTTAAACCAGCATATTCAAAGGCAGAATTTGTTGACCAAGGATTTTTGGCTCAGACTTGTCTTTAAATTAAAAACTTAGTTGTAATATTATCTGACTTCTGAAGAAAACAAGACTTATGCAATTATATGTGTGGTCTATATCTGCATTTAGATTGTTTTCTCTACCTTACATAGCTTTGTGCTTGTTGGCCAGTTTCAATGAAATTTTGCAGATTTATGTATGTTAAAGTTCTTACAAGGTTTGTGAAAACTGGCAGTGAGGAGGTTGTGAAAGCAGCCCAGACCTAGGTCAAAATGTCTCTTTGCAACTGATATTCCTGCTACCTGATGGTAACTGATCTGTGTCTGCACTTGCTGCAGTTACACCTTGAGTGGGCAGAGCATCAGAAGGGAGGCAGGCTCAGAAATGTAATGGTAAAAATAGCCCAATCTTTCTCAAAAATCTGCTGCTTGGAACAGTGTGTGAGCTTAGTTACCCTTGGTATAAATCACAAGCAAGTTTGTCCATTACAGTGAAATTACCCCGGATTTACACTGTTAAAACTGAGAACAAGCACTGCCTTTATGAATGTTTAGTTAGACTAAACAAGAGTGGCAAGAGTGGCAAGAGTGGCAAGAGTGAAGGGTCCAATGCAGCAAACTATTAACCTAAGCATTAAGTGCATTGGTTCCCCCAGGAATAGGCTCAAATAAAGACTGCCATGGGATGGTGTGTAAACCAGCAAAATGATGGAGACAAAGCAAAACCCTGTTACCACCCATGTTCAGATCAGTTTGTAGCAAAGGTTTTCTCTCACACACACAGAGAATTATTGGTATTGGCCAGCAGGTAATTCAATCTAGTGTTCATCTCCATGAATACTGCAGCAGTGGCTGCTACACCAAGGCTTTTTATTTTTTTTAATTAGCAAAATGCTTCTGAAGGTCCATGAGACCATGAACTTTCTTCAATGCCATTCAAACAGGCATGTTTTGGATTTAAAGCTGTGTTTTGTGTTCAATCTGTACAGTTCACTACTGTAATCACTCACATATGCTTCTTGCTTTGTGAGATTTTGAGGGAAGAAATTGGATGGTTTTCCCCATTAGCCACTCCTTTTCCTTGTGCCAGTATCAGGCTTGCTGGGAAGAAGACTGTCCATTTGTTTTATCACACAGATCCCAAGGCAGCTGCTTTTTTTTGTTCCCTGACTCCCTGTGTCATCACAGCCTTCGAGGTCTTGATCTTGGAGCACTTCTTATTGAGACACATGAATGCTGCTGTTCTCTTCCCAGCTATTCCAGCTGCTTCTGCTGCCCCATTAGAGCATCAGTGTCAGTATAAATAATTATATGTATTTAACCTTTTTCAGAGCACAAAGTCTCCATGTTTTCAAAGCACCTTTGAACCTGGGCAGGCAACACTGTCATTATTTAACAGCACACTGACATTCTCTATCACTAACCTTTGACAATAATGACCCAACTTTCTGTTTGTAAAACTCACTTTTCTATATGGGCTTCTTTCACCCTTCCTCCTGGTTGTGCCTATGGACCTCTCTCAAATCACTTAAGAGAAAGAAGTTTCTCTAAAAGAAGACAAATGCAGCATTAAAACCATTTTCATCTTCTGCTTCAAAGACACCTTTCCTGCATAGCTCCCTTTCTGTGTTATGAGCCAGGAACAAACTGCTTTATC